CTTCACTCATCATTACCCACACTCAAAACCCTGTCTCCGTTGCTCATGTCTCTTCAGCTCTCCAGCTGCCTCCTCCCCTCACCTCTCTGACCCACAAAGCTCTACCAGACCTTGGCTTCCTACGTTCCTAACAAACACTCTCCCTTCTCCCTGGGGAAACACCCATTCCCTCCAGGCGGCTCCTAGGAAACAAGAGGGGCTAAAATCTAATTAGAACTAAAGTTGTGATGACTGATGGAGGACCAATATAATTATAATTTGAAAGGACTCCATTAAATTCCCTGCTGAAAGGTCCTTAAGCAATCTTCTCCAGTGGTTTTTCCGATTTTGCTGAAGGCCAAATCCATCTTAAGCTCTATCTCAACAAGTAAAGCAGAGTAATGTGCAGCTGCTCTGGTCCTTGCCTGCCCTTTCAGCTGACTTTTAAATTCCTAAAGAGGCTTTTATGGAACAAGGGTTGTAAACCGCTGATCACACCCTTCATTCCAAAAGGAAATTGGGGCCCAGATAAGGGAAATGAGTTATTCAAGGTCTTAAAACCAGATAGTGGCAAAGCAAGACCTTGTCCCTAGGTCTCCTGCCTGCTGAACTAATGCTCCTGCCCCTGACCTACGTGCACTTACCTCTGTCACACCTCATCGTTGTAGCTGGCTCCTCCAAGCACAGTCCCTACCAGCTCTGCCAGCACCAGGGAGCTAACACAAAGAAACGTCAGCATGGCCCACGCTTCCCCAGCTGGCCAGGGGGTTCCCTGCCCTACTTCATGCTGGAAGTCATCTCTTTCTGCTGTTAATTATTTTCCTGTTAATTTGTATGACCCAATTTCTGCTGAGAACAAAAGCAAAAGAAAGGCAGAGACACAGTGCAGATTTTGCTCATTGCGTGTTTTCATTTTTTAATTAAATAAGTCAAGTAAGCCATCAGGCGATGAGTTCACATTCTATTCTGCAAAGCAGACCCTGACCTCTGGCAGCTGCCAACTCCCTGAAGGGCAGCCCCAGAGTTTCCAGGAAACGGCAGATTGTCTGTGGCCACAGCAAGGACATCTGGGATGATGATGGCAGCAAGGGGGCTATGAGCAACCTGGTGGGGGGAGCCAGAGGCTGAGAAGAACAAGCTGCATGCTACACATACATACATAGACACACATGGATGGATATGTTATACCGTGACCAGGTATGCCGTTAATGGGGTGACTTGTAGTATGTCGGCATGAGACACAGGACGGAGGTCTTGGCAATATGGAAGAGTATGTGGGATCCAGGCCAATTTGGACTGAGTACATATAGATGAGATGGAGACTTCAGAGGTGCTCAGCTGAAGTCCAATGTCAGAGGAAGCAGCCAAGAGGCATTTTATTCCTCAAATAAAGTGCCGGGTCTACAATATGAGCTAGGCCTGTGAAGACGGCACCATGTCTATGTCCTCTGAAATACATAACAAATTTGTCTCCCCCCTCCCCCGTGCATAGTCACGTGATACCAAAGGACACTAGACCGAAAGGATTTTGAAGCTCTTAAGACATCTTAAAACTGTCAATTCTGCTTTGTGCTTTTGAGGTAAGGAGTAGCTTCCATTACTTCTGAAGCTGCGAGCACTTGAGAGGTGATGGGGCTGCATTTAGGGTTTCCTAAATGCCCTATTACCCCATCTCTGGCAGTAGCCCCAGGCTGAGGGTGCCGGCTAAACTCGTCATTAAACATTTTCCATTCATTTAGTTATTTGTTTCCAAGTGTGTGTGTCACAAAGAAGGACAAAGGCTAGAATTTGCTCATGCACCTCAGCCTTTAGGGAACAACTTGGTGACCTCCTGAAAGAGTGTGCTGCAGAGCTGCACAGTCGGGCTCCTCTTTCCCTTTCCATGGGGACTCAGGAATCTTGCCCTCCACTGTCTACTCCCAAGGACCCCCAAGGGTCCTCACCTACTCCATGATTTATGAACAGGCCCAGAGGGGAAGGTGGGGACAGATAGTGGGGGCATAGCCTACATGCATTAGACACTTCTCTGTCTCACCAGGCCTGGGACATTCCACAGTTTCCAGGTAGGTGGACATTGTGGACAGGTAGGTGGACATTATAGAACACAGAAGCAAGAGGAGCTGGCCTCTGGAAAAGGCACTGCCCCCAGCTTCCCCGCCCCAGATTCAAGCTGAAAACCCCATATGTGTGACCCCAACCATGTCCACAGAGAGTCAAGCCAGTAGTCACCCCCCATGCTGTCCTTCCCCAAACCCCAAGGGATCCCAGAGCACACTGAGCCCCAGGAGGATAGGTTTCAAGGCAATACCCACCCACTTAAGCCATTCCCTGTCTCTGACACCTAGGAAAAGGTAATTCAGCAGAAAGGGCCCAGTGTTGTATCTTCAAATCAATAAGAGAGAAACCAAGGATTCTCCTCTATCCTGGGACCATCATGATGTTGGTTTACTCCCCCTTTGCATTCCAAACTGTCTTTGGGTGTCCTTGTGTGTATGGAGTGTGTGAATGGTTTCTATCCTTTTGTCTTTCTTGATTTGGGTACAGCTTTGAGTCCCTGCAAATAATAAGGTATTTTATGTCTCTTTTCACAAAATAAATAAATAAAGTCAACTTGCAATGTACACATTGCCGATGTCCTGAGAAGTCCCAAAGGTCCATTCTCGATAAGATCCTCAGAGAGTGGAGACATGGCCTTGGCCCCAGAGGCACAGCCAGGGAAGATGAAGTTGTCTGTCCACACCAGGAGGTCCTGAGGGAGAGCCCTGGATGGAGGTGGCAGGCCTCCAGCCCCAGTGGGGAACTGAGGAGGGAGCTGGGTGGAGGGTGGGAAAGAATGGCCATACTTCTGGGCCTGCCAGAAATATCACGGCCCCACTCTGCCCCAAAGTCAAGTCTTCAGAACTGCACCACTTCTTGGACTGTAAAACCAAGAGCGGAGACCTCCTTGAGTGACTGAAATCCATGTTGATAAGAGACCCAATATCTCAAATACACTGATTATACCAAATCCCACAAGATGGCTACTGTTCTCACCTTTCCAAACAGTGGCTTCCTGCCAGGACATATTCTTCACAGCAACTCCAGCCAGACCAGATCTTGTACTTCCCTGGTGTCCATTTACTCCAACCAGAACTCAGCCCTCTGGGTTTGGTTGTATCTGACACAGACGTTATCCAGGAAATCAGAAATGGCTGGGCGGTTCTTGGTGATTTCCTGCCAGCTCTGAGGTGGTACTGAGTTCTGCTCCTGGGTTTGGGATAGGCGTAGGGAAGGGCTTCCACTTTGGAGATACTCACTGCTTGGTCATCAGGCCCCTGGCCCCCCAGGAAAGGTGTCAGGGCCTAGGAAGGATTTTCAAATCTAGCCTCTTCTCAGAGACGGGGTAAGGGCTGCTATTTACGCTGCTTCTGGACACGGGGCAAGAACACTGGTGGTTTCTCAGATTGATTCCACATGGGGTTCAAAGCAAAAAGCCCATGGGGCACTGTGGGCTGCCGCGTGGCCACCTAGTCCTGATCTTTCTGGGAGAAGTCTCCTTTTCCTGTCCTTTCTCTCTGCCGGGAGCCAATTGCTCCCTGCTGGTTTCCCCAGCCTCCCTCAGCCCAGACTGCTTCAGGGGCACAGTCCTGCAGAAACAGAACCAAAAACACAGCCACAAAACAAGAAAGACACTAAGCCATAAATAACCTAAAATCCCCAAATAAAACACCCGGCCCATCCTAAGTTGAGCAATACTCTTCCCAGAGCCCTAAAGGCAGAATTCCAGACACTAGTTGTAGCCATGGTGACCAGCTGGCTGACCTCTGTCCATGAGGGAGAAGGCAGCCTTCTCAGGGGAGGGGTGTGCATCCTGGTGTGACTTCTCCCCCAGGAGCACTCTGTACTTTCTTCTTGGCCCTACTCAAGTTGAGGACTGGCTAGAAATGGCAGGACTGTGAGCTGCCTTTTGCCTCTAGGGACCATAGCTGCTTCTACCAGCCAGGCCCCAGGCAGCCTTCAAATATGGACAGGGAGCCAGCCAAGCCAGCGGTGCCCTTGGCCACACCATTTCAAAACATCCTGCCTGCCAGCGTGAGGATGTGGAGGGGTGGGTCAGAGGTGGTAGCCACGAAAATCCAAGGTGGGCAGAGGCTTTGGACTCTGCAGTTCTGAATCTGTTTAGCTCCAAACCTGGGCAGGACACCGTGCCATTGCCCTCCACCGTGTTTTCTCCCCTGCCTCTCCAAATAGTCCTAAAAATGCAATTAAAGGCTCCTTATCAGCTGTGTGATACAGACAAACACCGTGGGGAAAAAGCAACAGGAAAGCCTGTCTGTGTGTGTGTGTTTTATGTTTTGAAGATGTTTTTCTGTGTGTGTGGCTTGCACATTATGTATATCTTTATATTTGTTTGTGCTCTATTGCTGTAGACAGGGCTGAGACCCATCCGTAGCCAGAACAGCCATCCTGTTTATGGAAATATTGTTCTGTACCTGTAGGTAAACAGCCACTGTCACATTATAAGCCTCAAATGCCACCCCTGATGCCTTGGGCTGTCCCTCCATCTCTCCAAGGGCCCAGCCATACAGGCTTCTCCAAATTTAGAACAAAAGGGTTACAGTGATACAGCAGGGGGGCTGCTGTGACTGGCAGGTGACTATGCCCCTTCTGGTTGTTAAACATTTGGACTCTGGCCCACAGGGTCTCTGTGTATTAATGTGTGTGTGTGTGTAAGAAAGAGAGAGAGAGAGAAGGAGAGGGAGAGGGGAAGAGAGAGGCATGTCAATAGGCCTGGGCCTGCCTAGGCCTGATCAGAAGGCTGTAGCCCCTCAGGTCCAGGTGTGACAGTCCACAAAGGGACCAGGCACTGTCCTGTTCTCAGAGACACCCCAGGGCCTGTGGCTGCTGGGGGGACGCTAGCTGGCCGGGGGCCTACTGCTACAGCAAGGGCTGCCTGCTCACGGGGCAGCGTCCCAGCTGCCCTTGGTGAGGGCTGCATCTCACCACTGGCCTGGGTGTGAGGAAGGCAGGGCGGGCCTTTTACCAGGAGGGGTACACAGGGCTCCGGGTCCCCTACGTGACCCAGAAGGTGCCCCGTTCCTCCAGCAGGCTGACGGAGCGGTTGGTGAGGGAGGCGGCATCCCGTGCCAATTTGTAGCCGAAGAGGTGCATGGCAGGGCCACAGGCGGCCTGCACCACCTGGGCCAGCTTGAAGGGCATGCTGAAGCGCCACTTCTCGAACTGCTCTGAGGAGTTCTTCTGGGTGGAATAGATGCCGCTGCTGTCGCGGACTGCCTGTGTGTTCTTCTGGATCCAGTCCTCCACCTGCGGGGTCAGGGGGATGCCTGCGAAGCGGTACATCTCGCGGGCCTTCTGCAGGGGCCTGCGCGCCACGTCCTCGTAGCGCACCAGCATGTAGCGGCCCCGCAGCCAGGGCGGCTGCTGCAGGCCCAGCTCGGCCGACAGGCGGATGCTCTCGCAGTTGCCCCGCAGCCGCTGCACCTCCTCCTCTCGCAGCCGGTCTTCCCCCTCTGCGAGCCACTTCTTCCAGGTCTCGTACTTGCCTGCGAAGGCCACCATGCGGGAGGCCAGCACGGCCCGGGGGTCGCGCACCAGCTGGATGACCCGCAGGTCCAGCCGGGGGTCCTCGGCCAGCGGCTGCAGGAACTCCAGCTGGCGGATGCGCACGGCCTTGAGGGCCATGTGCTCCTTGCGGCGGCAGGCCTCGGCGGCCAGCGTCACGTTGAGGGGCCCGCAGCGGCGGTTCTTGCAGTGGTACTTCTCAAAGACCTTCTTGACGAAGGGCGTGCAGACGGGGTCCTCGCAGAGCGAGCGGCTGGAGCCCCTGCGGAACATGAAGTGGGTCAGGTGATCCTCGGGCAGGGGCGTGATGAAGTGCTCCAGGACGTACAGGTCGCACAGGAAGAGCTGCTTCAGCACGTCGCGGTACACCAGGGCTGAGGCCGCGGCGCTGGCGCCTCCCGACTCGAAGGCCACCGTGCGCTCGATGTGCCACAGCGGCTCGAAGAGGTAGAAGATGTTGCCCTGCTGGTTGAAGAACTCGCCCACGAACGAGGAGCCGGTGCGGGTGGTGGCCATGAGGAGCACGTGGCGCCGGGGCCGGCCGGGCTGGGGCGCCTCCGCCTCCTTCTCCTCCCGCGCGGCCTCAGCTGCTGGCTCCACGCCCAGCTGCAGGCTGACATTGCGAAGGCGGCTCTGCAGCTGGGAAAAGGCTGAATCCAGCTCGGTCAGGGACAGGAGGGACGCGTTCTCAGCCAAGACCAGGGCTGGATCTGTGCTGTTGGCATCTGCCAGGGTTTGGGGGATCTGCTTCAGCTTGTCCGAGACTCTGTGAGAACAAAGGAAGACCATGGTCAGAGGCTGAATGGGGACCCCATCTCCTGCGCAGCTCCCACGAGTCTTCCAAGCAGACCACCCAAAGGCAGTCTTAGTTGGGCTTCCCCCAAAGCAGACTCTGAGACAAGGACCTGAGTGTAAGTAGTTCCTCTGGGACATGATCTTAGGAAGAACCGGGGAGAGGCAGGAAAAGGAGTCCACGAGGCTGTGCTGCTAGGGAGCAGGCTGCCCTGAAGGCAGATGAGGCGCACTCTGACTGCAGAACTCTGGGAGACGTCTGCTCCCTGGTACTCCCGGCTTGCCAGCGTGCAGGCGCAGTGAAAGCTCCCAGGTGCAGAGTTACAGGGGCTTACAGTAGGACCCAGTAGGCACGAACCAGAACAGTTCATGCTGAGTGACCAGGTGGGGCACTGACAGCATGTGCTACACAGCTCTGTCTTCACTGGTGCTTTGGCTGACCTACCCATCCTGGCTGATGCTTTCTTGCAGGGCTTGTGCCTGGGCGGAGAACAGGTCTAAGAAATCTTTCTACATCTACTAGGCCCACTGCACACAGCAATAACCTGACCACTCAAGGGGGCTGGGGGCATCCCCAGGGTGCCTATTTGAGGGACATTCCCCAGAAGTTGAACAATATATAACCCAGGAGGCTGCACAGGCCCAGAGTATCCTGCCTTTCCATGGGCTCATTGTCACACATGACATGAGACTTGTATAGAGGATGTGCTGCTGACACTAGGTGTCATTCTAGGGCAAGAAGTAAGCTGATAGTAATAGTCGCAGCCCGCAAATAATGGACACCAACTATTGCTAGGCACTGGGCTAAATGCCTTTACATTTTCTTATTTAACCTTTATAATAAGGCAGGTCCCATTAACCTGAACAGAAGACTCAGAAAAGTGAAGTATTGGTATTATCAGTGTTTTCTAAAGCTTCTCCTTTCTCTTACACCTGCCATCTCTCCTAACTTTGGGCATCTAATTCATCTCTGAACTGGTAATTCCCTTAATTTCTAACTTAGTAAGTGCCTTTCTTATAGAACCTGAATTTATTTAGGAGACAGGGATTGAGTGCAGTGGCACCATCATGGCTCACTGTAGCTTCTAAACTCCTTGGCTCAAGTGATCCTCCTGCCAAGCCTCCCAAATAGCTGGGACTATTGGGACACTTGGCTATTTTTAAAATTTTTCTTTGGCTGGGCATGGTGGCTCGCACCTAAAATCCTAGCAGTCTGGGAGGCTGAGGTGGGAGGATCGTTTGAGCTCAGGAGTTTGAGACCAGCCATGCAATCAAGACCCCCATCTCTACTAAAGACAGAAAAATCTGCTGGGCATTGTGGTGGGCACCTGTAGTCCTAGCTACTTGGGAGGCTGAGGCAGGAGGATTGCTTGAGCCCTAGAGTTTGAGGTTGTTGTCAGCTCAGCTAAGGCCAAAGCACTCTGGCCTGGGCAATTGAGTGAAACTTGGACTTAATAAAAACATTTTTTTTTTTTTTTTGGTAGAGATAGGGTTTTGTATGTTGCCAGAGTGGTCTCATACTTTTGGCCTCAAAAACTCCTGCTCAGTGCCCCAAAGTGCTGAGACTATAGCCATGAGCCACTGCATCAGGCTAGAACCCCTTCTTAACGACTAATGTGCCTCCTTGGATTTTTTATTTTTTTTTTGAGACAGAGTCTCATTATGTCGCCCTCTGTAGAGCGCTGTGGCGTCACAGTTCACAGCAACCTCCAACTCTTGGGCTTAAGCCAATGGTTCTCAACCTGTGGGTCGGAACTGTATTAAAGGGCTGCAGTATCAGGAAGGTTGAGAACCACAGGCTCATGTGATTCTCTTGCCTCAGCCTCCTGAGTAGCTGAGACTACAGGTGCCCGCCACAATACCCAGCTATTTTTTGTTGCAGTTGTCATTGTTGTTTAGCAGGCCGGGGCCGGGCTCAAATCCACTAGCTTCGGTGTATGTGACCGGCTCCCTATTCACTGATACTGAGCTACCTCCTTGTATTGTAAAATCTTTCTGGTAATGCATTGGAAATTTTTTTTTGTAGATTAGTAAAAGTGCCTTCCTGTTTCCATGTTCCTTTATTCAAAGCTAATAGGTGCTTTCCTTCATTTTCCAGTAACTAGGCATAAAAATCATGTTGCTTTATAGTTTTAAAAACATTTTAGATATTTTTATCGATGAGCTTTCTTAATGTCACTGTCTTCACAGACTACTGACACTGTCAGCTGACTAAAACTGACCCTTTTTGCCTTACCCATGTGGATACACACTTCCTGTCTCTACTTTGCCTAATAATGTTCCTTTGGGTCTGCAAGGTTCTTAAACTGTGCTAGCATTAATGATGTTTGCAACTTTTTTTTTTTTGGAGACAGTCTTCCTTTGTTGTCTAGGCTAGAGCGCAGTGTTGTCATTGTAGCTCACAACAAACTCAAACCCCCCGGCTCAAGCAAATCTCCTGTATCAGCCTCCCAAGTAGCTGGGATGGCAGGTGTGCTTCATGACACCCTGTTTTTGTAAAGATGGGGTCTCACTCCTGCTTAGGCTGGCCTCAAGGGATCTTCCCACTTCGGCCTCCCAGAGTGCTGGGATTACGGGCGTGAGCCACTACGTTCGGCCAGATGTTCTGCACAATTTAACTCACTAGCAGAAATGCAATGTTGGACCTTTGAACCCCTAGAACAAAATTGTTTAAATTGACAGTTGCAGAATTGTGGTGTTTTACATTGATCTTTTGCTAATGCAGTTAACAGTCTATTTGCATGACTTAATAAAACCTTGAATCATTTGTTTTAAATAGAAAGAAACGTGAAGTATCTTGCCTAAAAAGGCCAAGGCAGAGGACTCCAATCCAGGAGTCCAGAGTCCAGGTCTCACCCTGTGCAGTTACGAGGATGTGTAACTGTCTGGGACACGGAGGGGCCTGGTGAAGACTGGTTGAAGAAAAGCATTTGCAAGTCCACAGAGAGTCTTGCAGCCACCTCTCCATCCCCCCCCCCGACCTTGGTAAGAAAACTTGTGCAAGTGTCCCTCACCTTGATATGATTTTATTTTCCTTTTCAATGAAGACAAAAACTATCACCACAAAAGCCAAGAAAAGGGCATATTTGCCCCGCATCCTCAGGCTGTGCATAAAGTCCCGGCAGTCCTGGGGCAAAGAGAATCCCTTCTCCATGGGGAAAGGTGGGGACTCCTCAGGCTGGTCGCGGTCACTCAGCTCAGGAACATCACTTGGGACCCAGGCTGTCTCTTTTGTCTTCAGGTGGGGGACACCCCTGTCCTGTGGAGAGACAGGCAGTTAGAACACCCATGTCTGTAGACATGGAACATGGAGGATGCATCTTCACCAGACTTTTCAGCCAGGAGCCCAGGCCCATTCTCCAGACAGATATGGCCCCCACAGACTTGAGGTCTCTTTGAGTAGGTCATTTAAAATGAACTCTCCAATTCCTCTATCCACCTCCTCAATTTCTCCCTTGACTTCACAGGTCAAAAGCATGCATATATGCAAAAGAATATTCCTTGCAGCATAAACATTTCTAACAGCAAAAGACTGCACACACCTACATTTAAAGATGAGGGCATGGCCACGCAATAGATTTTGTGACCACATAAAATAATAAGGTGGATCTATAAATGCTACATGAAAAATCGAGAAATACTTTTTTTTTTTGAGACAGAGTCTTACTATGTCACCCCAACTACAGTGCTGTGGTGTCATAGCTCACAGCAACCTCAAAATCTTGGGCTTGAGCGATCCTCTTGCCTCAGCCTCCCAAGTGTCTGAGACTACATATGGCCATCACAATACCCAGCTAAATGTTCTGTCTTTAGTAGAGATAGGGTCTCCCTGCTCTTGCTCAGGCTGGTCTTGAACTCCTGAGCTCAAGCAATCCACCTGCCTCAGCCTCCTAGAGTGCTAGGATTACAGGCGTGAGCCACCGTGCCCAGCCACAAAATAAATTTTTCTTTTAAAGTAAAGTATAGACACAGTATGTTTCTGTATGACAGAGTTTTTAAACCTCAGCACTGCTGACATTTCAGACCAGATAATTCTTAGTTGTGGGGGCGTGTCCTGTGTGTTACAGAATGTTTAATGGCATCCTTGGCCTTTACCCACTAGAAGCCAGCAGCACCCCATTTGTGACCATCATAAATGTCTCCAGACATTGTCAAATGTCCCCTGGGGGTAGGGAGGTGAAGGATACAAAATCATCCTGGGTCGTGAATCTCTGATGTAGCACGATTCCATTTGGAAAAAAAGTAGGAAAAAATATAGATGCTGGATACAAATGGGCTGTGACTGCAGGGATACACAGCCATGGTGACCACGGTTGCTTCCAGGAAAGGGGACGAGTGGGTGGAGTGAGAAGGGTGGGTGAGTCTGATGTTTACTGAGAGCCCTGTACATTGTTAGACGTTGTACCATGTGTATGTATAAATTTCTAAAAGTCAACTAAAGAGAAAAAAAAATCATAGCAAATAAATTCTACCAAAATCTCTAACCCAGCCTTAATCTTAAACTCTCCAATTTCTGGACAAGCTAAATTAGGGCTCCCTACAGCCCCACCACTATACAAAGATCCCATTGGTACCTGATACTCTGTCATAAAGTAACAACTATACAATACTGAATTTCCCTTCGCAGGGGACGAGGAGTTTGTCTGGGCTTCTGATTATCCCTTAGCCTGGGCTAGGATTGTAAGAGATACTCAGAACACAGTGGCTGAATGACAGATGGATAAAGGAATATATCACCCTCAGCTAAAGCCATAGGTACTTTTTAAAGCCAGAACAATTACAACATTGCCCCATGGAGCCTGAGTCGCTGTTTTTTTAATTCACCCTCATCACTGTGGCATGCCCTGTTCCACACTAGTGCTCCACTTTCTACACAGCACCCCCTTCCAAAAGTCTCTCTCCTTTCTCCATAAGGACACTCATGCATGGGGACAACCTGCTCCAACTTGGAGTTTGGAAACATCTTACTGTTTGTGACCTGGCACAGGGCACCCAGGTCCAACTGTGGCTTGCCACTACTGCTTGTCCCACATTTTGGATAAGATGGGTTTTCCCCAAGGGCAGCAGCTGATGTTGACACAGGAGAGTGGGAGGGCAGGAAGGAAAGTCTCCCAGGGCTGTGCTTTCATCACATAGTGAAGTGGCTTCAGGGACAGCCAGAAACATCTGCCCTTTAGGGAAAGCAGTGAGGTGGGTGGGTGAGCAGATGGGCACCCTGGCAGTGGGAGTGGAGGTCCCCAGGCTGTGGTGGGCAGAGGGTGCTGGGGGTACTCCTGAGTATGGATGAGTAAACAGGGGCCCAGGAGGGAATTTGGCCACAGGACAGCTCCAGGGAAACTGGAACAGACCTGCCTCTTCCTGGTTCTCTTGGGCCTTTCTCATGAGCTCACTGAGCAATGGCTTACCTCTCTGTGCCAGGTGCCACGTGCCACGCTAAGCATTGGCTTTCCTCATCAGATTCTCAACAAAGTCCCGCTAGGTAGCAATTAGCTCATTTTACAGATGAATAAACTGAGGTTGAGAGAGGTTAAGTAACCTGCCCAGGGTTCCTCTAACAGCAGCCCCCGACCGCCCCACCCAGGCCCAGGTCATGAGTCTCTAGGTACACTCCAGGGACCCCTATCATAGACTACAGCTGAGTATTTGCACTCCTTCCCTAGACTTTGTAGTTGGGACTGGCACCTAGAATATCACTTGGCACATACCAGCTGTCCAACAAATCACTGGTGAGAGCATATGTGGAGACTGGTGCCCAGTGGGCTCCTGGCATGAGTGTGTAGGATGACCAGTGGGGCCAAATTCCCCACAGTGTAGCCTGTCTGGGGTGGGAGCCTGTCCCACTGAGTGGGTGAAACTCAGCATTGAGCCTTCAGAGCATGAGGTGTTGAAATCCTGACTTTCTGCCCTCTTGGCACTCTCAGCTGCAAGTTCCTAGATTTGATGATATGAGGGAAGCAGATGGAGCTCAGGTCGGAAGTGCTGGGTTCTAATCCTGCCTATGCCTCTGCCATGCTGTGCACCCTTGTATAAATCACTTAACTTCTCTGGCCCTCTGTCTGTTCACCTGTAGCATGAAAAGGGGAGCCCCTACTACATTAGATTGCTGTGAGGACCATATCTGGTGCACAATAACGTTCATTAAAAAAGAGAGGAGTGAAAAGGCAGGGTGGGTGGGGGCATGTGCCCTAACTGCCCTTTCTCTTCTGGGTCTAGCACCTTTGGTAAGATTTAGAAATTAAAATGTCTTCATGACAGACTCCTGAACCTCTTCCTACTCTCCCTTTTCCAAGGACTATTTCTATTTCGAGTTGTTATCCCAGCCTCCTCAGCCCCAGAATACAAGGTTCAAAGATCCTTCCTGACATTGCCCTAAAAGGAAGCAGAAGGGTGGAAACTCTGACATGAAGCACAAGGCAGGCTGCTGGCTGCTTTGTCCTGGCCCAGGCCTGCTGCCCTCTGCTTAGCTTTGGAAGCCAAGCAGGCCAGCAGGCAGGCAGGTGGGGGGATTTAGAGGGCATTAGGGCGGTACAGTGTGTCCCAGGGCTAGGAGGTGGAAGAGGGTTAGTGCCAAGAGGTCACAGGGTCATGAAGGGCACAGCTCTAGGATGGGGGTCACTCAGCAAAGCCCCAGGCAGAACCCGCCCTGTTGGAGGCTCTCTGTAAGAAGTGGGACTGTGACATCTGTGACACTGAGTGAAACTTAGTGCCATCTCCTTCCCAAGCTGCACAGCACAAGGGCTAGTTCTGCCTCCCCTGCTTGGCTCATGGGAAGAACTGAGAAACCTCATCCTCCTTCTCTTGGCAGATACCACTCCTGGCCCCGAATACTTACTTGATACTTTTCATCCCCTCAACACCCTAGCAACCATGTAACGGTCCAAGAAAAGGGAGTGTTAGCCTGCCTGGATCCCAGCAGAGGGCACATTTGCGGGGCAGCAGGGCCGACGGTGCGGTGAAGAATGCCAGGGGCACATGCCAGCCCCACTCTGCCTGGGTGTAGAGAGAGTGGGACGGCTCCCGTTGTGCCCAGTGCTCTGCACACTGAGCATGGACACCAGAGGCAGGCAGAGAAGCACAGTGCTGCCTGGCAGCAAGCATCTGGGGAGTGCCCACTGTGTGCCAGGCCCCGGGCAGGTGCTGAGTCACCCAAGGGCACCGCCGTTGGTCAGGCCCTCCAATTGCTGGCAGTAAGGGGTGGGACGTGGGCTCATACACCACCTCTAGCTACCATATGGTTCTCAAAAGCACTGTCATCCCTCTGTCTCACTTCCTCCCACCCCTCAGCCCTCCCTCTCCAGCTGGCTTCTGCCCCCATCCTCTGCATCCCAAGAGCTCAGCAATCTCCTGTAGCTCTAACGTGGCTGCCACGTGGCCTGTCTGGGTCCCTCAGGCTCCAGGCTGCACACTGCCCACTCCCTCCCTGCTGAGGCTTCCCCACGCCCCTCTCCTGCCTCCCTCCTGCCTCTCTGGCTTTCCCAGGCTTGGCCTCCTCTACAGAGCACACACACAGGCAGTCTTCCCACCCAGGCGGGTGAGCACCTGCTCACAGCTGCGCCATCACCCAACTCCTCAGTCACAGGGAAGCTCCTCAGAGGCACAGACAGCACTCGGTCCTGCCAGAGTAGCTCCTGCTTAAAACACCAATGCACTATTCAGAGTAAAACGCAAGCCCTTCAACAGCCTCTGAGAGCCAGACCTTGCTCACCTCACCCACCTCTTCCCCCGAACTCCGAACTCCGGCCCCCTGCCCTGCCGGCCACTCCCTTCATGGAGGCTTCTGCACAGCTGGTCTTCTGGCTGCTTCCTCCTAAGCAGTCAGCCGCAGCTCAAATGTCCCCCCCTCTGGAGTCCCTCCCAGACCCTTGACTCAAAGCCCCCGTCCCTGCCCCTCCCCCTTCATCCTGCCTCATCTCCCTCCTAGATGGAAACACACTGTTAACTGCCTCTTCCATCACGTCCAGGAGGGGACAGCTTCATCTGGCTGTTCCGCCTTTGCATTCCCAGAACTAACTGTACCCGGCACAGAGTAGGCGCTCCACAAATACTTGTTGAATGAATGAGTAAATAAATGAATGAATGCCCTTGCCGATGCCTTTAGCCCAGTGCAACATGCTCAGTCATTCTGAGCTAACAGACAACATGATGAGGAAGAAAGAAAAAGCAGTTGCTCCACATATGAGTGAGCCCTGTGTCCACGCCGCAGGCACGGGCCCCAAGAGCCTGCTATGGGCCTGTGCAAAGAGCTCACCCAGGGAGTGT